TTGCTCGCGTATTGGTTAAACGGCGCTTGAGCTCTATTTTTGAAACTTTAAACAATTTACACAGTTGCTTAAACTAAGGAGGCACAAAGGCTTAAACTAGGGCGTCAAGAAACGCTCCTGCCCTTCATTTTTGCAAAAATGCCTTTTAGTGCAGGGGGGGGATCTCAATTTATCTTCTTTTTCTTTTTTAAATTTCTTTCGGGGATGGTACCATTAAAAATGCAGATAATCATGATTTTATAATAATATGTCATTGAAAATAGGTACAACGCAGCTTTAAACTGGTGTAGATAATTGCATTGTATACAGCTACTAACTTTCGTATTTTTTTGCTTTGCTTTATAATTCTTGTATATAAAAAAAAAAACTTTTTCCAGTCCTTTTGGATGACAATGTATTTTCTTTTCCCAGCTGCTACCTAAAACCTGGATAAGAAATGTTTTTATAGCTGAATGACGACGTATTATTGCTGGACAGACTGTTTCAGACGCAGTAAAAGCAAGCGATAAAAACACCGTTCTGTGACTCTGAGTGAAAAGATAACATACTTATCAAGCTCTCTCTTGATGGGATCGTTTGGATTCGATGATTAGGCTTGTCGCGCGTTAGAAAGGGCCTCTCCTTAAAACCTAGATCAACTTGCGCACATATAGCTTGCCGTTAATCATCGATAAGCATTATGAATTTGGACGCTAAATTTAGAACCTTAGAATTAGTTTCCATAAGCATCAGATATTTGATATATACGTAAAAACTAAGCTAACTAATAATGGAAATGATGAAAATTATTGTTTTTGATATATAAAATTGTATCAACAAGCATTATTTTTTCATTTCAAGTCTAGCATTGGTACAAATGGAATATTTATATGGGACATTCATGTAATAAATTTGCTTCATGATTAGCTCACCAGCAGATGAAAAGTGAAAACCGCTGCACGCTGGTACTTCGACTTTGGTTCAAATCCCAGAGAACAGGCTGATTGCATGGGTGTTTGTGCTTGTTTCTTTTTATGTCTAACACAAAAACGAACCAGTTTCTCTTGAAAGGTCCTCTACGAAAGCATTCTTCCCTTCAAACAGCTTTCGTATGCTTTTCCATATTCAAATAACTGATCGATTTTTGATTATTATCTCTTATTATATGTTGATATTTGTCACTTAAGCGAAATATTAATGTATAGATTTTCTGAAGGACCATAAAATGCCCTCGAATGTTTGAACTTGAAATAACAGAGAACAAATTTCCAATGTTATTTGAAGGAAATCGCTTAATAAGTCGCTTACTAAGTTGCAGATTTTGAAAGAAATTGTTTTAGTTTTTAACTACTTTTTTGAAGTAAAATACTACAAGGTTATTAAAACCTTTCCCAACCATGAGCATAGCATTTCTCCTATTCTTTATAACACATACCGGCGAAAATCAGTCAATGAGCCCTAAGTAACTTTACAAGTATTAGAAAAAAAGTAAGTTCTGTATTAAAGTCTCAGAAAAAGGCGATTTAACTAAAAGGATTTAATCTAATTCTTCCCCAGTTTAAAAACATTCTTATATGATTGAATAGATGCAAGAGAGAATTACTAGCCACTCTTATGGCATTAATAAAAATAATGGCTGGAATTTTTCATTTGCTTCTGAATCTGTGTGACTGTTGAAATCAGACAGACGGAGCTTTTCCCTCTGATTATTTCATAGGAAGAGTGATTACAGTGTATCTTTGAGTGTCTTCGACGCTTATTTTATTAATTTATTCCAACTCCAAGCTTGAAGTAAAAAATAGAGTTATTCAATATTCCGGGATTTCATAAAAATACTCGAATTTGCTTAAACATTTTGTTAATGTAAATGTGTCGATATTTTTGTTTGTTTTGTAAATTACTAATACGAATTCATGCAAAACGTAAATGGAATTTGTAAATGAACAATTTTCTCAAGAACTCCTGCTTTCATTCCTAAATGCGAGTAAACTCTTCGCAAATTGTCTAATCTCATGATGATCTAATTTTCATAACTACAGCATTTTTTTTTCTGCTGATAGCCATTGAATGAAATATTCATAAGTATTCCCAATTAATAGATGTTTTAATTACTCTAACATGAGCTTTTAGTAATACTAATTAAATTACTATTAACAATACTTTGTAATTGTTACGGTTAACTACCAGAGTTAAATCATAAGTAATTTAATAATGAGTAAATATTTAAAATAATATGTAACAAACGTTAGTTTCAGCTTGCAGTAACAGTTTAACGATGAATTGAAAATGGTTTTGGGATAACATCAAGTTAATTAACTCTTATATGATAAAAAACAGTTTGCTTTAATGTCATCGAATTGTTCGTAAAGTTGACGAGGTCCTCCATTTAGTTGCATAGCGTGGTAACTCGCAGACATTTTTGCTATTTAATTGCTATCTTGGTAATATTTTTTGACAGGAGGATGGAGTGAGTAATGCGAATCAGAAGAACTAGAATGAGCAGTCGAGTCATTAGGCTTTTTTTTTTATGCTGAAGACCAGAAAAATGTGCAGATCCCTCGCCAGGATTCGAACGCTGCCCCCTCCACCCAAATCCGCATCGAGTGTGCTTCCAATTACGCCACGAAGGCATGCTAAAAGGAAGGAGAAAATACCTTATAGCAGTATTGTTAAAAGCAACGAGTTAATAAAAACTCGAAATATAAACCTCAGAACAGCACTTATTATCTGAGTTAGCGCGGGACGCATAGTCAGAGCAAGAAGAATGATTAGTTGCCCTACGTTATAAGAGTTCTACAGCGTAATAAGCCGTTTGAAGTACTCAAGTCTCATATCATTGTATTCAGGAATAAGTGCTCTCTGTGATATTCTTTCGTGCTAATGTTAATGCCAAGTGTGTTTTCCTCCAAGTTCAGAAATTTGTGATTATATCTTAAAAAATTAATATCTCAGCTCCAACTAAGGACCCCAAGTAGACACCTTTTCGAGGGACGTAAGTTGTTTTGTTCTTCTTTTCAAACTTTCGTGTTGTTAGCCTCATCGGATCGGTGCTTTACTAACTGACATTCTTATTTTCTATATGTATGCTTTAAATATACTTAGCATACTTCGCCATTACTTCTGGAATGTAAACAGCAGTCATGTTAGAACAATATTTCGCTGCTTACATGTAATTTATTTGTTCAGTCAGAGCTTTAAAGGAAATAAACACAGTTAATATAATTTGTCTGAGAATTATTAAGCAAATCTAATCCATCTCTTTATAAGTTATTCTTCACAGTTAATTATAATGACTTGAAAATAACAATATTTCGCTATAGCGTAGGAAAAGCTATCTGAAAGCATAATTAAATCCTTAAAGAAAAGAATTAATTCCTCTATTAATTTCAACTTTGCTATGAAATCTAATACCACTTTTCCTTTTTAACCTCTATCAAATGATGTGCTAACTAAGTCAAATGACGAGCAGACTTATTATAAGGAAAACTTCATAAGCATTATTTCCGGAATTAGATAAAGGAATCTGAAGCAATTTATAGTTTAACTCTTCGCTCAAACATGCAGTTCCACTTTCTTTCAATTTCAACAACTACGATGACAATTTACATTACGCTCCCAAACGAAAACTATTTGGTAATGAAATCTCGTCTTTGGTAAGTAGTCGGTTTACCCGAAAATAAAAAAGTTAGTAAAGCAGATTTCGAGATTTTAATTTTCAGCAAAATAGATCTGCACATGGCAAACTTACCAGCTCATCTCATCAGTTAATCTCACGAGACAAAATTTTTATTGATACAGCATTTATTGAACTTATTCCAAAATCACGATGAAATACAGGACATATAAGTAAAGCTGTAAAGTCTAGCTTTAAATTCTAATTGTTTGGTTGGTCTTAATTACTATATAAAGCAAGATTTTGCGCTACCACAGCGTTTAAAATTGAATAAATATTTGTAAAGATAAGCATAATTACTAAAACATTTACTGCTAACTTGTGACTTGTAGTTATACAAATTCAAAATAAGCTGAGTTTGAAATTCTTTGTTGTTCACAGGAAGCATTTTTGAAGAAACTCTAACGTCTTAATCTGAAGAGATAAAATGCTAACTCAGTTTATACTTCACCAACACAAGGTTCGACAATTCTTTCTAAAACTTTACTTAAATCAGCTGGAGCTTCTTAAAGACACTAAGCACTCTCTTAATAATGATTGACATAGATTATAGCTTGATTTGTCATGATATACGTCTTGATAGCTAAACTAATAGCTGTATCTCTTCAATTGCCTTTTTGTGCTCATTGAATTCTCATACTCCTCGAACGAGTGATATCGTTGAATGCTGTTAATCGAATTCACTCAGGAAATGTCAGTACTAAGCAGCCTTTTCCTTCGAGTAACTAATTAAGAAGGAAATCGTAACACATATTTTATAGACCAGTTAGTTTAAAATATAAATCTTTCCGTAAAATATCAATAAAAAACTGATGAATTTTACCGTTTCTTGTTATTCATGCTCTACCGCCCAAACGGTGTCAAGCACTAAATGCCACTTTTGAAATAACATGCCAGTGAGCAAAAAGTAACTGTTTTCGTCGAAAGAGATGCACAAATACCAAATTCCGACGTGAATAAAGATTCGCTTCTAGTCAAATAAGGTATACCTGTGTGGAGAAAGACGCGTAGGGGCCTAAGCGTTTTTAAACTCAGACAAAATTCCTGAAAGTTCAGTACTGAATATAATTTACTGCATCATGGTTAGGAGAAGGGCATATAAAGAATTGCTGTTGTAACTTTAGAAATAGTACACACCATTATATGTGCTATATATAAACAATTTTATGCGAATGAAACGAGTCAGAAGACCTGTTTCAAGACTCTATTCTCAAAGCCAGCCAAGACCAGTATATAGCATATAATAGCGACTAAATTATATTAAATAAATGCAAGAGAAGAATCCATAAAATGTATTTAATATATATATATATATATATATTTTTTTAAATTAATAGTATCTTTTTAGGAAAACGCAGGAACACAAGAAAATGCAACCAAAAAAAAAATACGAAAAGCACAAAATTTTGGCAGAAGGAAGAAAGACAAAGCTTTTGCAAAATTTAAAAGAAGACTTTTATGTTCGCTTAACAACACATTGAAAATTTGAATAGTTCATACCGCTGAACTGTGATATATTTGATCCTGATATTATGATGTAAGAAGAGTTGATTGTTTTAAAGAAGGATGTTCAAGCACAAGCCTTTTCAAAAATACATGTGTATGACAAATTTTGTTATTCTGAAGTCACCTGAGATAAATATCCCAAAATAAAAGTTGTTACTGAAAAATATTAAGTTTTCTCTCTTTTTTTATCTCGAATAAGCAGAATTTAGTCAAGTCAATAATTTAGTTATGGAAAGCAGGAGACAAGTATTTTTGAACAAGGTGGCAAACAAGCGGTCGAGCTGTGCAGTAGCTGAGCACTGGTAGTTCTGTCTAGAGTTCGAATCCCGGCGAACGGGCTGGTTGCATAGGGCAATTTTGTGATTTTCCCATATGTAAATAGTACACACCATTATATGTGCTATATATAAACAACTTTACAATTAAACAATTTTACAATGGTATACAAGCCAGTTTTCTTAGAAAGTGCTCCACAAAGTCATCCCTTCCCTTAGGCAGATGGCCCTCGAGCGCTTTGCCGCAATCAACTAAACCAAAAGAATTTTTAACGAGGTGAGTTAATAATTAAGTATTTTTATGGCGAATATGAAAAAAACACATGAATATACCAAACGCAGCGATCAATTAAATCGAATTTTTTTGTAGTTAGAGCGAGTTTTTTGTAGTTAAATCGAATTTTTTTGTATTTGCGATTTTATTTCGGAAAACCCTTTTGTATTTGTAAAATTAAAAATAAGAATAATACAAAATAAAATAACTTGTAAATCTAATAAAACCTTTTTCAAAGCTTTTGTTCATATTCTTAGTGCATATTGTAATTATCTTTAAGTGCAATCACTTATGTTACCATTTAAGTGCAATTATTTGCATTATAATTATATCGCATGCTGCCTATTATATAAAAAAGTGTAATGGGTTCGATAAAGAAAACTTTTTTTTTTTTTTTTTTTTTTTTAATTAGTCTAAATGAACATTTCTCTCTGTTTCTAGAAATGGAAAGCACGGCCCGTAAAAACTGCAAATATTTCCGATCGCTATTCATGGAACTGCTTTAAAAAACTACTAAATGAACTAGAATTCATTGCAATGAAGATTTTGTTTCATAATTTGCGAAGATTTTAAATAATATGGAAAATATCTGCTGTGGCGTTTTAAAATTACAGCTGAAAATCCCATCAGTAAAACCATTTGCGTGAAAACGCAAAATCACCCCGAGCATTTATTGAACGTCTAAAAACCCACTATTATCTTTCTACTTCCGTCGCTACTGACGTCATTCTCATAATTGCCCACTTTTTTTAATATTTATTCGGGAAAGTCGAGAATACATTGTACCACTCGATGTTATTATTCAGAAAGGTAAGAATCCTAAATTAAAACGCGGTTTCCCACGGCGTTGGTGACTCTGACTTCAATCCACTTGAACGCTTGTTCCAGATGAGTGAATGTGGAGGCCATTGTGACTCTAATAGCGGGTAAAATGAGTTGGACACGTGTCCCTGGCCACCAGCGACAGTCGAAAAAGTGACCACTTTATGGGGTGCCACGTGCCACGGTGCACCGGCCCTCGTGCGGTAGCCCGGTGCGTGTGCGGCGGTAGACTGCTGGCGAGTGAGCTGAAGAACGGTTGACATTCATTGATTCTTTAGGGACACACAGAATCTCCTAGTTGAAGTGGCGAGACTCGAAAGTCATTTATGCAGGAACAAAAAAGAAATAGAGCAACGGAAATTTAGTTACAGGAAAAGAGGCGGCAGCGGAAATAATGCGTTTTATAATTAAAATGGTAACTGGCGACTAAGCTGAATATCAGTGTATGCATAACACATTAGCAATCATTGAAAAACAGATTAACTTACGCATTGTAAACTAAATGCTGTATTGTAATAGTAAAGAAGGCTTTCTTCTCATACTGTTAAAGGCAAGATTTCCGACAGATCTAGATAATATTTGAGATACCGGTCTCGAAATAAAAATGAAATAAGAGCTATGTAGCTGCTACGACTCCAATATATGTTTATAACATTTTCAGTCCTTAGTGGTTTAGCTTAATTCCAAGCCTATGTGACAGAGAGTAGATATCTTGCAGCTGGCAAAACGATTTTTCAGACTGTATTTTTGTATGAGAACGTAAGGAGGAAAATGGTTTCAATCCGAAAAATTGCAGATTGCTTTCGAATTTCCTAAAGAATCCATTGAAAAGTTTTAAAATGTTTTAATAGTGAAAAACTTGAAAAACATATATATATATAAACAAAAATAATGTTTTGTTTTCATGTTTAAGAATATATCTACTATACGCTACTTATAAATCTAAATTTTTGCTGTTGACTGCTGAATAAAATGAAAAACTCAAATGAAAAATAATTTCAAATTGAAATATTCCGGAACTTTTTCTGCATTTCCTTTTGTACATAAAATGGTATGTTTAGAAAAATACCGAAATACTAAAAATGCATATTATTATCTGAATCGAATTTAAATATCTATCCATCTCTCTATGTATATTCAGAGAGAGAGAGGATGGCAGTCTATTCATTTCGATAAAGTTTCATCATCACCGTCTGATTCCTGGATGTCGACATTAATGTGCATAGAAAATAAAATTGGAAATTTTGAAACTGATATATCGTAAAGCATTAGAAGCGTATTTATTTTATATATAACTTTTATGGCATAATATAAGAAAAGCTTATGAACTAAACAAAAAGGATCTGTGAGGTCAATTTTGCCCATTGAGCTGCAAAATTTAAAACAAAATTAAAAAGTAATTCTTTAAGCTATAGCCTGAACGAAGTATTACTTTAGCTCATAGGCTATAGCTTAAAGAATTACTTTTTAATTTTGTGGCATAATATAATGCTTGTTTCAAAATGTTATTCAGTACACAAAAAATAGCTTTTTAAACAATGCAATTTCTTCGGCTGATGAGTAGAGTGTTATTATAATATCGAAAATAAATTAAAAGACAGTGTTTGACATTAAAAGACATTGTTTGGCAAAATCTCTCTTTTGTTTTTGAACTTTATCTTTAACGAATACAATTTCATCTCAGACTGAAAACACTAACACTCCTTCGAGGTATTAGTAGTAATATAACATAGTAGGGATTGTGCCTGTAACTAAGTGTAACTTGAGACAAATCCTTAAATAGACATGTACGCGACATTTCGCTATATCTAAAATGAAAGAGAATGTAAGAAGGTGTAAAAGACCCTCTTTTACGAAACTCAAAGTAATTTAGCAGAAGATACTTCTTGTGCTTACTAACCAGCCATCATATGGCGTAACCCAAAAGAAAAAGAATTCAAATTTAAAACAAATTAAATTTTAAATTAACCCGAAAGGTTACGCAGAAATGAATAACGCGCAAGTTACCTCAAACCGGCGGGACAAGCAGTATTGGCAAGAATAACGCAGCACCGAAAACAGACTGCTATCAAAGAACTGCAACTAGTAACGTGCCTTCAGCCGGCGGAACACGCCCTGATTACACAATCTGAAACCTTCCTTTAACTACTATCTCTTTCTACCCCATTTGAATACACTGGAACTAAAAATTAGCATTCTGGCAAGAAACGGAAAGGGGAATGATAGTAAAGATATTTAACATGAAATAACTGGTTTGATAAAAATAAATAATCCTTACGACATAATAATTTCTAATTCTTTGAGTGGCAGTAGTAACTCTGAACCATGATATATGAAAGCCACATCAGAAGGCATACGCTTAAAATGTTCAAACTAACTTTCCAAGTGTATGAAGTTACAAAGTAGAATTTGTAAAATTAGGTAATGATGAAAATACAGTATTTAATTATAGGCAGTCATAAACCACGAGATATTTTCCTACTTTCGCATGTATGCTTAATGCTCAATGCTCTTTCCATATAATATGGTTTTAAAATGAAATTCACAACAACGGTTTTCAGTTCTTTAACCAAGTCAGTGTCTATATCACATGCATTTCAAAACATTTGATTAATCGAAGCATTTTAAAGTAGGTATTTTGGGGTACATCAAATTAAGCTTCATGGTTTGGTAATAGTTTTAGGCGCAAAGATTTTCGGCTTCGCTTTACCTTTGCATTATTTACAAATCGAATACAGAATGATACTAAGGTAATCTTATTAGAAATTAGCTATATAAGTGATTGCAGAAACTTCACTTAGAATTAAATTTCCTTGGAAAAAAACAATATGGCTTGCGGCTTTTCCCGTGGCTCATGTTCTGATATTGTATGAGAAAACTGCTGTTCTGTTGCCGCCAAAAGTAGTTCGAAAAACCTTCAATGAAATCGTTTCTATTACAAAGTAATGCACAAGCGAGAAAAATTGTTTTCCTATGTTTTATCTTGCATATAGCCTCAAATATTAATAAAACTCAGATGCATACAGACACTAATCTTTGTAACGATATTTGTTAAAAACGTGTAATCAGTATGAAACTGTTTTATTGTTTACAACAAAGCATACGAGGACTATCAGCCTAACAAAAGGATGCTTCGTAAAGGACTAAGGAAACTGACTTGTTTTCACTTTACATATGGGGAATAGCACGTGACGCCAATGTAGCCAATAAATTCGTCAGAATTCGATCCTAGATAGAACTACCAGTACGCAACGGTTCATCCAAAACTGTAAGTAGAAAGCACACTCCCAGCGAGGCTCTTCAATTTTTCGATATTTAATTTCATAATTAAATAAAAATTTCGCTATTATTACAAATAAATTACTATTTAACTGTTAAAAACTTTATTCACCTTTCGTTCACATCTAATAATAAATTTAAAGCTGCAACGGTTTTGTATATGGGCTTACGTGAACAATAAACATAATAAATTGGAGTTCATCCGGGGGGGTGTTATAAAAGAAGTTTTCGTACTCGCAAAAGCCTATTCTTTGCCTTTCGAAATACTTGGCATCTTTATACTCCACATCAGTTCCAGCCTAAAGCTGAATTTGCCTATTTATTAATCACTACTATCATTATAAATGAGCGCTAAGGCCTCGCAGAAATAAATTATTAGGACAGGTTAAACTAACTGAAGATAATTTTTCACATTCCTTGCGAAATATTCACACAATATAATTGTAGTTTTGCGGTTCGTGTTTCAAAAGAAATTATTATCACCCAAATATTTTCTCTTAATTTG